CTCATTGGTGGGAGCTAAAAAATAAACAAATTAATTCACCCACATACATACACAAAAAAAATCGGGGCAGGGGAAGAAGATATAACAACTATACTTTTTTGAAGTTGTTACAACAAGCAAACGGAAAGGACATTCTTGCGGAGGAGGGGAGAGAGGGAGGAGGGAGGGAGGTGTCGGTGATGGGCCATAATAATCATATACAGTGTATATTGACAAAATAAAAATTTAACAAAAAAAAAAAAAAAAGAAAAGTTAGAAGATAAAATTGAGGAAATCTCTTGAAAAACAAAACAAAAACTATGGAACAGAAAAGAGGAAATGTAGCAGGAGAGTTCAAGTCCAACATTAGAAGACTTGGAGCTCCTAAAAGAGAACAGGAAACAAAACATGGGATGAAGAAGATACTAAAAGTTCCAGAAAGAAAAAAATATATATATGTATAAAGTTGGGAGAAACCAGAATGACATCCACCTTTTGACCAGAAACACCAACAGCTAAAACATAATAAAAGCAATGCCTTCAAAATATTAAGGGGAAGATGAGTTGCAACCTAGAGTTCTATATTCAGGGAAGCTATTAATTAACTATTAAGGTAGAATAAAGACTTTCACACATGGGAGATGACAGAAAATTTACCTTCCATGCCCTCTTTCTCAGCCCCTGAAAGATGAGATCCACCCAAATACAAGAGTAAATCAAAAAGGAATTAAGGGAATCCAGAAAACAAGGTGAGACGAGGGAGGGAGAAATCTAGCTAACAAGGTGGGGTTGAAGAGAATCCAGGAAAAACCGGGTGGTGTTGAAACACTCCTCAGCACAACGGCGAAGGAAAAAACCCAGGACGACAGCTTGGGTCTGGGACAAGAAGTCTGCACAGGAAGTCTGCAAGTCAGAAGGCTGAAGATGCCTCCAATATGATGGAAGCTGACAAAGTGCCCAAAGTGTTCTCTGAGGGAACTGACACTAATGCAGTGGTGAAGGAAAAAACCCAGGACGACAGCTTGGGTCTGGGACAAGAAGTCTGCACAGGAAGTCTGCAAGTCAGAAGGCTGAAGATGCCTGCAATATGATGGAAGCTGACAAAGTGCCCAAAGTGTTCTCTGAGGGAACTGACACTAATGCAGAGAACTGGAGATAATTAACGGAAGTGTATAGAACATCACCACCAACGGAAGGGGCAGAAGAGAAATGTAATCACAGTGTACTGTATGGCTCAGCTGTCAAGAGTGCTTAAGCTGTCCTAATAAAGTAACACGGAATACTTATCTAAGCAAAAATTATGACTTTGTAGTGGGAAAAAAAGCGAGGGGCAATGTAGATCCAGTTATGCAAAAGAAAAACAAAACTAGGGAGCGACATCAGCAGGATGGTGGAGTAGGAGGTCTCCAGCTTGCGTCCCCCCACAGAAACAACAATTTGCTGGACATCCACAGAAAAAAGTGCCTTTGTGGGAGCTTTGGAATCCAGGTAAGAAATTTGTAAACCCCAGTGGAGCCCAAGATTGAGCAGGGCTGCTCTGAGAAGGCAGGCTAGAACCCCAGTGGCAGACTCTCAGACCTGGCTACTGACCAGAAGCAGCCCCATACCCATCAACTCAACTCCCACCCTGCCTGGCCGCCATCCTGCCACCATCCCCATCTATCCAGAAACTCACAGGAGCCATGTCCGTCCATGGCCCCAGTAATAGGCTCATCAACCAGACCAGGCTGTGAACCCTGAAGCAACCCTGTGACCTGGCTCCAGCTCACTTCATCTCCATTCCCGAGGCAAACCAGAATATTTACTGCAGGTGATCTCTACATTAGCAAAGGAAGTTTGTTAACATAAAAGTTCAAACAGGAGAATGGCTAAAGTACACCCTAATCAATGTGTCTGATTCCCTGAGGCATCTCATTCTTCTTTTAGTGCATTCACACATTGCAATCCCGAGGCATCTCATTCTTCTTTTAGTGCATTCACACACTGCAATCCCTCCATATATAAATATGTCATTGATCCACCATAGCAGAGTATGGCCTAGGGCCGATTATCTGTCAGTGCTGGCACATTTGTATAAGTGTACCTATATCCTTGCCTAAAAATAATCTATAAGGAATAGAAAAGCTGAATGACCCCAACATATGCATTAAACCCACAACCTTGTCTTTTTTGTCTATCTAGCCAAATGAAATATGCATCTAAAACAACAAGATCTACATAATTTCATATAAAAGAAAACAGACTAAATATTTTCCCCTTTAATATTTCACCTAAAAGAACCTTACTTGTGTATCTGGCACAGCACGCATCTCCAATTCTTGGTCTATAGGACGGTTGACTTTCCTGAGCATTGCAATATTCTAACAACTTGGCTCTCAATATACACAGTTTTTCCTGATTTTCTAAAATATATAAAAGCAATCTTTTGTGAAGAAATTTCCAACACTACTATTAACAACAGTATACAAAAGAATGTTAAGCCTTATCAATCAAAAAACCCTTTGTATATTAAAATATGTATTACATTTAAAAAATAAATACAGAATACCCACTATTGGTTGCCTTTTGTGGAAGGGATGCAACTAATACCGGGAGGGGGTGTGAAGGAAGCTCTCTTGGGACTTTTTTTTTGGCAGCTGGCTGGCAAGGGGACCGGAACCCTTGACCTTGGTGTTATAACACTGTGTTCTAACCAACTGAGCTAACTGGACAGACTGCTGGGCAAATTTCTTGATCAGGGTGATTATACCAGTGTGTTCACTCTATGAAAACTTACTAAGCTGTATTTTTACAATTACTTGGTGTACTTTTCAGTAATCGTGTTACACTTAATAAAACAAAATTATCCTCAATAGTACTTCTAGTTCATTATACCATATGTTGTCATCAGGGTCAAATGACCCTAAGCCTCAGCTTTTTACTATACAGAGTAAAGATGATTTTTTGTAATACTGGAGATAAATTTAAGACAACTTACTGGTATCACCACAATTGTGGGCCTGACAATTGGAAACAAAGGCTCATTTTTTTCAGCCTTAATACACCTGCAAATTGTTCTGTATGGTCACCACCCAACTTGCACTAAGCTCACCTTCATGTACTACGAGGATAAACTCACATGCAAGGGTTCTTCAAAAAGTTCCAGGAGAAATAAAGTTAAAAGATAATACAAATCTTTCCATGAACTTTTGGAAGTATCCTGGTACATTTAAGAAATTCCTTAATAGTAAACTTCCATGAAATAGAAAAGAAAAATTAAAAATCAATTTTTATATGCCATTTTTCTCATGACTCTTCCTAAGTCTCTAAGATAGAGTAAGACTATGATTATGGACTGTTTACAGAGCCTTTCAATAGTAAAACTGTTTCTAAAACAGTTTTGGTCAAACTCACTTAAATGGTTGTAGGAGATTAGCTTAGTAAATACAATTCAATATAGATAATATATGTTTTTAAATAAGAAATTATATAGTGACTGAGGACACTATTTTGTCATAAAATATTGTAGATTATCAAGACCAGGATACTGAGTGGGTGCTGAATACAGGGCATTCCCTTCATGTTCCCACTTGTGTTTTTATAACTAAATCTGTCTGAAGTGTTATGATCAATTCTTCTGAGTGAAACAAAAATCATCACCCTCTTCTTCTCCCCCTTATTTCCTAAGGAGTTCAAGACAAGCACTTTCATTATATGGTTTAAAAGATGAGCATAAATATGTCTCAAATTTTGGTTTCTCACCTGGCATGTCATTTGGTAGAGCATAAAACAAGTTAGGGTTTATTACTTCTAAAATGCTTGCCTGCACAGTTTTATTAACTGGCAATTCTACTGTCTTCCACTGATCGGCTGAAGAGATGGCTGAAAACATACAACACACAGGTCTCACATGAAATAGAATATACTGTTCTTTCTCAGTAATATATTTATTCAATTTATTCAACTGCTGATTCCCAAAATGAAAATCTGTATTTTCACAAGAAAATCTATTCAATTTGAGGGACTGTGTAGGCGTTGTGAAAAAATTCAGTCTATAATGAGAATCCCTGAACTATTAAACTCCTGTTGTATATTTCCATTTCTGTAGTATATTTAATTCTTAAAATTTACTCAAACTTTAAGACATACATATCTGGTATGATGCACACCTACCTGATAACTACATTAAAAATGAGTACATTTGTTCAATAAAATAATCATGCTTCAATATGTTAATATTAAATTAACTTAATAACATATTATCAATCTATGTCCACAAAACATCTCTACAGGAAAATTGTGTCATTTAGGATAAAAAATTTTCATAGCCTATGAAAGCAAAGGATAACATTAATAACAAATAAATGGTTTAAAAATGTTACCTAGAAGCTCCTGGGTGTCAATTTGAAGATCATGTTTATTTAAAAGTCTGTTATTTGGCAAGTCTTTATGGGATGAACCAGCTTTTAAAACCAGATGCTCATTAATCAGAACATCACTAATGATTTGGGGATAGGAAGTAGAAATATCGGTAAGTTCAATTCCCAACCCATTTTCAGTGATCTCATCCACTCTGGCTTGGAGTTTTGTCCCTGCAACACATGTCTGAAATCTTGCTATGGCTTCTTTAGTCCAGTGCTGGTTTGCAGGCTGTATATCTGGAAAATAAGAACAGCATTAAAAAGAATCCTGTGCACAAACTGGATTTTTGCTTCAACAGTATACAGGACTGGGTCCTTGACAAGTTTACTGTTTAGATCAGCAGTTTTGAGTATCTTTTTTTTCAATATGCTCTGATATGTCTACATCCTCCATGCCTGAGTTACAGATAATATATTTGCTACTACACCCTAGAGTCTGAGGAGTCTCAGGATCTTTCCTTACTTTTCATATTAACACATCTTTACCTGGCATTTTTCAAATAGCCCCAAATAGAAGTATTATTTCTTTTAGAATCCACCATCATGTTCTGTTACATACATGACGATGAGTTATCAATTATCTGGTAAAAGATGTCAGCTGATACATTCACTTTTATGGACAGTTTTCTAATGATAATTTTAAAATGCCATTTTAAATTACTTAAGCAAAAAATATTTTTCTTGGATAATTTTAGCTTACACACTTATTTTCTTAACAGTGATTCTCAAACTTGAGTGTGCACCTGAATCACCTAGAGGGCAAGTTAAAACACAGACTGCAGGGCCCCACCCCAGAGTTTCTAATTTAGTAGGTCTGGTGCAGGAGCTGAGAATCTGCTTTTTTAACAAGTCCCCATATTGATGCTGCTGATTTGGGGCCACATTTTAAGAAGCACCGACATAAGACATGGTAATTAAGAACAATAATCTGAAACATACTTATTGTAAAATCAGAAGAAAGAAAACAAATGAGGAACAGAAAAAAGAAAGAAAGGCATCTATGCTTCCCAATGTGACACTATTAACATTCTGGAATCCAGCTTTCATAATGTTTTTACACACATGCACACACATTATCTTATAAAAAAAAGTTTATCATCCTAATAGTTGTAAGTATAATGCCAAGCACTGTTAAGTTTTTTATATTTTTACACCTCTTCTGTTCTTAACAACTCTTCGAGGAAGGTACTATTATTTTCCAGATGAGGAAACGGAAGCACAGAAAGTTTAAACAATTCACCTAAACGTCTCCCAGACAGTAACAGAGTTAGTTCTAGAGCCTGTTCTCTTAATCACAATGCTGTCCTGCATCTCTTTTATAGCTTATTTTCTTCACTGAAATCACAAACAATTCTTCATATCAATAATAAATATCAACGTTTAAGTGACTATGTAGTAACATCAAACACTTCAATAAAGTTTTCTGAATGCCAGATCCTGTCCTAAACATTCATTTAATCCTCACCAACATCCCTATGAAATAGGTATTACCACTATTCATTATGTGGGTCATCATTTAACCAGGCCTCTATGATGAACTATTTAGGCTGTTTTGCTATTGTTAACAGCAGCATAATAAATCTACCTGTAGTTGACTGAATTCTGTGCAATTCCCAGATTTCTTTGAGATAAGTTACTATAAGTAAAACAGCTAAGTTGGAAGGTATGAATATTTAAGACTCTGAAGGAATCCTGCAAAAATGCCTTCAAGAGGGTCGTGTCAGTTTTCATGCACATCATGAGGAGAGACAAGCAGCTTCTTTCCTACTCTGACACTAACATTGGACATTTTGTTCAATATCTTAAAAAATAAATTTCTAAATTTTATATTATGAAGCAAAATTTTCTAACTCACAAAATGTTAAAATTATAGATATTAATACTTAGAATATTACCTACACTAACTATTAGAAAATAGTTGAGAAAATTTCTTATTCTGTTCCATACCTACTAACCAGCACCGTATCCCTTGAAACGGAAGTTTCAAAAATTTTGATGATATCATTTGAAGTTCATCTGCAGTAACTTCTTCAATGTTTCCATAATCCACAAAATGTACTTTAACATTTCCATTTGGTAAGATCTCCTTGACTAAAGCACGATACCAATTACCATCACCTAGATTTAACACAAAGTTTGTGACATGGGACATTTCCCTCCTATTAACATTTTTATCTACTGAAATTTTTCTCTTGAAAAAGACACACTTTGCCTAACGTAGCTAACAAATTTGCTTTCTTCCCCAGACTATGCCTTTAGTTTCTCAAAGATCCAAAGAACAAGAATTCCCAAAATTTATTTAGAATATCTCCAAAAATTTTATAGTACCATACTTTTACATCTGATATAAAGATTTCATTCATAACCTATCCAATAAACAGAATGTGAAGGGTAAGACTTAATAAACTTGAACACACTTGTCAATCTTGAAGACTTATAATACTCTTACCACTAATGACTTAGATTGTTTTTCTTGTTACTTGGGAAAAAAATATAAAAAATAAACAGTAGAAAAACTCTTGCAATGAAAGGAAGGTATTTCAGTAATAAGACTTAATAAACTTGAACATACTTGTCAATCTTGAAGACTTATAATACTCTTACCACTAATGACTTAGATTGTTTTTCTTGTTACTTGGAAAAAAAATATAAAAAATAAACAGTAGAAAAACTCTTGCAATGAAAGGAAGGTATTTCAGTAAATACGTTTTCAAAATAAACATGCACAGAAGTGACCAGAAGAAACAGTGAATCTGCAGTGAACAGCTCATCCATTATCTAAGTTATTTTAATATTTTCAGAAATTCTGGAAAGAAAAGCATTAAAATAATTTTTACAAAGTTTAGGCAGGAAAATATCATTTGGGGGTTCTTTGTTACAAACAAACAAGGAAAAACACATGACATCTTATAAGCATTCATTTAAAGTTTTTGTGGGTTTTCTTTGTGGCTGGTATGGGGAAGTGAACTCCGGACCTTGGTGTTACAAGGCTGCACTCTAACCAACTAAGCTAACCAGCCAACCCTACATTTATTTAAACTGGGTTGTGAAAAATATTTGCTTGATCACTGGGAAAGAAATATGCACTAAAAACAAGGGTTGAATGTCAAGAAACAAAAGGTTCTAATGGTCAAGATAACACCAACAGCAACTTACCTGCAAAAAAAGCACAACAAGGTTGTTCTATTTCTGCCTTAAAACCATTAGGCAACTTCTGCTGGCAGTATTCTGCTAGTGATTTGTTCAAATCATTTAGCTGCTTTAAAACTGAAAAGACAATACACATACAGCATTTAATATTTTTTTAAAACAACACAGATTTTCCTTTGAAGTCAGAAAATGCTGTCCTCATAAAAATCTTAGGTACATCCCCAAATAGCTGTTTAGGACACCAAATGCTTTTCCTTATTAAAAATATTATCAGGCAAATAAATTTAGTGAATAATCTCAACAAACTCAATACCAACAATTTACTGGGCATGGAGATACAACTATGGCATTATTATCAGTATACTAGAGCATGAGTTTTGCATGCAGACAAGGAAGCACCACACAAGCCTGTACAAAAATTTACATAAAAGCTGTCCTGAAAGAGTAAATAGAATCACTAAGTGGACAGCACTAATAACGTATGCCAAGGAAATTCAGAGAGCTCATGAGCTCTGTGTGCTGGAGGTTTCACAGAGAAATGTGAAGCACAACACATCTCATAGAAAGGAGAAGGTACTCCAGAAGGAAGAAACAGCTCTGAGACAAAGTACAGCAACTACATTCACACAATGGAACACTACGCAGCAACAAAAAAAAGCTACAGCTATATGTAATAACAATCTCACAATGTGGGGAAAAAAAGCAGCAAGGCACAAAAGAGTACATATTGTATGATTCCATTTACATAAAGTTCAAAACCAGGAAAAACTAACCTATGCTATCAGAAGGCAGTCTAGTGTTTACTTCTGAAAGACAGAAGGGTTCATGATAGGAGGAGACATGAAAGAAACTTCTGGGATACTGGTAATGTTTTCTTTCTTTACCTAGAGGCTGGCTATGCAAGTGTGTTGACTTTGTGATAATTCATTATGCTGCAATCCCATTTGTGATGTTAGCTATATCTATGTTCCACGTCAATAAAATCAACAATTAAATTTCATTTCTGAAAATGAATTTAGGAGACATTCTATGAAATTTAAACTGGTTTAAATATAGAGAGAGATTGTTGAAAACAGAAATAATGGCTTAAAATAGAATAAAAGCCAAGTAGGTACAATATAATCAAATCTTTCTTGGACATACAAATACCCAGTTGGCCGTTCTTGGAAAGAAAGCACTTTTATCACTCAGCAACAAACTCATCTTAAGTTATTATTTATACCAATGTATTTGTAAAAGGAAATAAATGAGAAGAGTCAACTTACCACCCTCTTCAAGCACATGGCAGTAAAACTCTCCAGGATTATACATCATACAGACCACAACATCTACTGTTTGGTCAATGGCAAGTTCAACCCACGTCCACTCCAGTGGATTTACTTTTCCTTCTACACCCAAGGGAACTGTGAAAATAATCAAACATTTTGCAAAACAAATAGACTGAGTGGGAAGAGGATGTGTATGGGGTTGAGGGGAGGCGGGTGCTGAGGAAACTGCTTTGGAAGAACTGAATTTCCACTGACATTCTGAGTGACTTTATAGAAAAGTTAACCTTAAAGTCAGTCCTACAACTAACCATTATTACTGCACTGAATTTCAAATTTACATTTCTGATTGATCTTCAGCTGCCAGTGTCCCATAAAACTTTCAACAAAATTTCAGTTTTCAAGCACACTCTTAAAAGTATTTAGATGAATGCTTGATTTAAAAAGAAAAAAGGAATTCAACACGAATTTTTTTTGAAAGTACAAGAACCCACACATTTACAGAACCATTTGAACTCCAGCAGAAATATTATCTGGTAGGCACTGTACTTACCACTGGTTTCCTTCATGTCACTGGGTTTATCTGTCACTATCACCTTTTCCCCTACGGCTAAGCCTGTTTCGATGAGAGCTTTAGTGACATTAATGTTGGGCGTCATGGATTTATCTGTAAGCTCCACCAGAGAACTGTTTTCCAACTTATCCACCACTTTCACCATGATCATTTTGTTCTGTACAATATTTTTCATGAGACAAACAGCTTCTGGAGTCCAAATTCCTAATGATGGCTTTACCCCTAATAAAGAATTTTTAAAAGAATATTAAAATAATCCTTAAAGTAAGCATTTGGAAAATTTACCTCTTAATTTCTTAGTTTAACTTAAGAAATTTATGGCAAACAACAGTACTAAAAAGTCCCCCTTTGCATGAAAATGAAGGCCAAGTTAACAAAGAAAAAGGCTGTAAAAGAGCTTCTGTATGGGGCCGGCCCCGTGGCTCACTCGGGAGAGTGCGGCACTGGGAGCGCCAAGGCCGCGGGTTCGGATCCTGTATGGGGATGGCCGGTGCGCTCACTGGCTGAGCGTGGTGCACACCACACCATGCCGAGGGTTGTGATCCCCTTACCGGTCAAAAAAAAAAAAAGCTTCTGTATGTGTGCGTGTGCACACACGGACACACACACACACACACTTCCACTGCTAGGAAATGTCTAGAGAAGTGAATCTCTAGAGACAGAAGATTAGTTGTCTGGGACACACACACACACACACACACACACAACTTCCACTGCTAGGAAATGTCTAGAGAAGTGAATCTCTAGAGACAGAAGATTAGTTGTCTGGGGAGCAGGGATAATCTAGGCATTAATCTCACTGGGTTGATGGTTATGTTCTAAAACTGGATTATGGTTGTACAACTTGGTAAATTTACTAAAAATTACTGAACTGCATACACCTAACTAAAATAGTGAATTTTATGGTATGTAAAATAAACTTAAGAAAATCATAAACAAAAGGATAAAATAATTCAGAAAGAAATACTGGTCCCTTACATTAACATAGGAAACATTTGCAGTGCTTATAAATCAATACTGAAAGGGCACTTATAAATTAACACGGTTATGTATAAGTCAATTCATAAAATATCTGAGCCAAGTAACTTACAAAAAAATGTTCAGTCTCACTGGTAATAAAGCAATGATTAAAGAAATGATTTAGTTTTTTAGCTTATCAAAATGGGCCATGATGAAATAATACAGAAACATTTCTCTGGTGCACCAATGTGCAGAGGATTCACCCCCTCATACTTTTCTGGTGGGTGTGTAAACTACTTCAACACTTTCTGGAGGACAATGCAGAATATGTCACAACCATGAAAAGAAGCATACTCATTGACATCCCCATTCCACCTGCAGGAATGTATCGTAAGGAAGTGTTTTGCAATATAATTTTTTTTTTTGCAACATATCAAAAGGAAATCATGTTGTAAAATGTAGTTAAAAGAGCACTGCTAGTAGCAAAAACTTCAAAATATCCTTCTGATACTATATACTAGTTAAATTATGGTACATTTGAATGAAGGTTGATGAAGCCAATTTATTGACATGGAAAGAAAACCCTGATCCCAGTGGGACAAATTACATATAGAGTAACTTCTAAGCATATGATAACAATGTTTTTGCTGATTCACTAGCAGGTTTTCCCTACTTCATACATCTTTTTGTGTTTTCACGTTTCCTTTTTTATATTCAGGTTTTAATATTTTAAGAGTATGGGGAACATAAAAATTTTGTACCTGCCAGCACACACTTTATAGCTTGCATTGGCAATTCCAACAATTTTGGAATTATGGGACGAAGTCTTGTCAAACTAAGGATTTCAAAGTTTCCATAATCTACATATCCAACCAGTACAGATTCCTCAGAAGCATAAGCCAAAACAGAGGCACGGTACCACTGATCATCCTCTGAAAAAAAGGAAAGACTCAATCTCAAATCATTTTTCAACGCAGATATAAACAAAACCTTTTACTCCCCAAATTAGAGATGGCCACTTGTAGATTTTACTTTAACAGAATATTGAGCTTTACTGAACAACCTATACCTACTAAACATTGCTACTTTTGCTTATCAGAAGCCTTCAACTCCTAAGATGAAGCCTTTACTGATAGCCTACCACACTAATTATGTCACATGCTGTCATTATTAATTTGCATGCCTTATTGCTACTTTTGCTTATCAGAAGCCTTCAACTCCTAAGATGAAACCTTTACTGATAGCCTACCACACTAATTATGTCACATGCTGTCATTATTAATTTGCATGCCTTGTTTCTCCAGTAAACAATTAGCTCATTAGGACAGAGAACATGTCTTGATCATGTGAATCCCCAAGATCTTGATCAATACATGAACCATCTGCTAAGGCATCAAACAGGGCTAATCTTAGAACATCTGCCAGCATGAGTCAACCAGACTCTACCAACCAAGACATCAGTTTACTGGAGGCTTACTTGTGTCTCCCCTTCCGTGAGGCCAGGGAGAATAAGAACCTGGTAATCACAAGGCAAGACTTGCCCAGCTATGAAGGCCACGACACGACAGCTCTGTGCTTCCAGGCTCTCCTACTATTCCAAATAAAATGAGGACATGAACCTGAGAGGTTCCACATCCACACATTTATGTGAACAGAATTATCTGTACCAGTCCTCCAAAACTAAAGGGTTGACAAAATAATAATAATTTCCTTCACTATCCCCCACACGCCCTGACACAGGCCCTCTGCCCTTACCCATATCATACCACACTGCTTTGGTCCAGTTTAGCTGGACATATTTAAAAACATAATTGGTGCACTTTAGTACAGAGGCTTCAAATGCAGCAATTCAGTGCAAACTAAAGATTCTCTTTCAATTGTTTTTACTCAATTATAAGTCAAAAATTCAATCATACTCCTCCCTTACCTGAGAACTGAGCACAACATACATCACCGATAGCTGGATAAAAATCAGAGCGTGGAGACACTTGCCCACAGTACTCACTAAGGGAAGCCTGAAGTTCAGCAAGCTTATCTGCAGATACAGATCACATCTTAAGCAAAAGAAATACATATCTATACATAATTTTTGCATATTGAGTCTCTCAAAATATGTTATTTTGATAGAACAAATCAAGAAATTTACTTACGGCCACTTTGTAGTTGTTGACAAAAGAAGTCTTCTGGTGTCTGAATATGGGCAACCATACCACAAAACTCATCACCCACATTCAAAGTTAACACTTTTGGTATTAGGTTACTTTTGTCCACAACAATTTTGTTTTCAGCTGTCATTTTCCCAACATCCTCAGGATCACCTTATTAGAAAACAGTAAAGTAGGCCATTTTGGTTTCATTAAAAGTTAAAAAACAAAATAAAACATGCATATTTTAATTGTTTTGGAACAGAGACTATAACTATGACTGGGCAAGGTTCCTAAACAACAGCAGTCTGACAGCCCATGGTATTTATCTCTCCAAATAATAAATGTTCATAATAATGACAGTTTTCTATGTCACCAAAAGCTCAACTAGTCCCAAGAAAGAAAATTAATGCCATTAAAAAAAATTCAGATCTAATTAAAAAGTTCTGTAATAAAATCTTTACAGTCTCTAAAAGAGTTCAAGAAAATATGATTTTGATTAGATAACCTCTCATGATACTGAATTAGATACATCTCTGATTAGAACCCATTCTACAGTGAAATGATAAATCCCATAGGAAACAATTATGATAAAATAATAAATTTAATTAGAAATCAGAAATTTTTTGAATGCATTGAACCGTTCAAAAAGGAACAAGCAACATAGGTAACAAGTCAAGAGAAAAAAAATAGGGCTAACATAAGAGTCTAAAGGAGAGACTTCAAACACAATGAAAATTAACTCAGAACATAAGAAAACTCACAGAAATGAAAAAAGCACATGGCCTATAAAATTCCAAGTTTCCAAGGAATACCTTTTCAGGATCTATACTTTGACAGAAATGAAAATTAACTCAGAACATAAGAAAACTCACAGAAATGAAAAAAGTACATGGCCTATAAAATTCCAAGTTTCCAAGGAATACCTTTTCAGGATCTATACTTTGACAGAGATATCATACACCAACATATCAGAATCCTGACAAAGAAAAACTACGGCTTTAAGGAACTAAGGATAAGATATTATTCAGATAAAACTAAGATCAACTTCGTTGTTGTAATTCAGAAATATGAGGGAACATATTACCTAGAATACTAAAGAATTATTAAAGAAAATGATTCTCACCATGAACCTAGACGGTCTACTCTTTGAAGACCAAGAGGAAACTTTGACAGATCACAAAAGTGAAAGGAATTTGCTACCTAGGATTGACCTCTCAGAGTGGATTACAAGGGATTCTTGAAGTTTTGTTAGAAACCCCACTGAAATGGATAAGTGGCCCAAAATACCAGCCACGGTAAATTCAATAATCTCAAGTGTAAAAGGTAAAGGTAAGAGAAAGACTAAAAGTAAAAAAAAAAAATTTAATGTTTCAGAAAAACCAAAATATAAATAAAGGAAGAGGTGAAAGAAAAACTCAAGAGCAAGAAAAATAAACCACCANACCTACTAAACATTGCTACTTTTGCTTATCAGAAGCCTTCAACTCCTAAGATGAAGCCTTTACTGATAGCCTACCACACTAATTATGTCACATGCTGTCATTATTAATTTGCATGCCTTGTTTCTCCAGTAAACAATTAGCTCATTAGGACAGAGAACATGTCTTGATCATGTGAATCCCCAAGATCTTGATCAATACATGAACCATCTGCTAAGGCATCAAACAGGGCTAATCTTAGAACATCTGCCAGCATGAGTCAACCAGACTCTACCAACCAAGACATCAGTTTACTGGAGGCTTACTTGTGTCTCCCCTTCCGTGAGGCCAGGGAGAATAAGAACCTGGTAATCACAAGGCAAGACTTGCCCAGCTATGAAGGCCACGACACGACAGCTCTGTGCTTCCAGGCTCTCCTACTATTCCAAATAAAATGAGGACATGAACCTGAGAGGTTCCACATCCACACATTTATGTGAACAGAATTATCTGTACCAGTCCTCCAAAACTAAAGGGTTGACAAAATAATAATAATTTCCTTCACTATCCCCCACACGCCCTGACACAGGCCCTCTGCCCTTACCCATATCATACCACACTGCTTTGGTCCAGTTTAGCTGGACATATTTAAAAACATAATTGGTGCACTTTAGTACAGAGGCTTCAAATGCAGCAATTCAGTGCAAACTAAAGATTCTCTTTCAATTGTTTTTACTCAATTATAAGTCAAAAATTCAATCATACTCCTCCCTTACCTGAGAACTGAGCACAACATACATCACCGATAGCTGGATAAAAATCAGAGCGTGGAGACACTTGCCCACAGTACTCACTAAGGGAAGCCTGAAGTTCAGCAAGCTTATCTGCAGATACAGATCACATCTTAAGCAAAAGAAATACATATCTATACATAATTTTTGCATATTGAGTCTCTCAAAATATGTTATTTTGATAGAACAAATCAAGAAATTTACTTACGGCCACTTTGTAGTTGTTGACAAAAGAAGTCTTCTGGTGTCTGAATATGGGCAACCATACCACAAAACTCATCACCCACATTCAAAGTTAACACTTTTGGTATTAGGTTACTTTTGTCCACAACAATTTTGTTTTCAGCTGTCATTTTCCCAACATCCTCAGGATCACCTTATTAGAAAACAGTAAAGTAGGCCATTTTGGTTTCATTAAAAGTTAAAAAACAAAATAAAACATGCATATTTTAATTGTTTTGGAACAGAGACTATAACTATGACTGGGCAAGGTTCCTAAACAACAGCAGTCTGACAGCCCATGGTATTTATCTCTCCAAATAATAAATGTTCATAATAATGACAGTTTTCTATGTCACCAAAAGCTCAACTAGTCCCAAGAAAGAAAATTAATGCCATTAAAAAAAATTCAGATCTAATTAAAAAGTTCTGTAATAAAATCTTTACAGTCTCTAAAAGAGTTCAAGAAAATATGATTTTGATTAGATAACCTCTCATGATACTGAATTAGATACATCTCTGATTAGAACCCATTCTACAGTGAAATGATAAATCCCATAGGAAACAATTATGATAAAATAATAAATTTAATTAGAAATCAGAAATTTTTTGAATGCATTGAACCGTTCAAAAAGGAACAAGCAACATAGGTAACAAGTCAAGAGAAAAAAAATAGGGCTAACATAAGAGTCTAAAGGAGAGACTTCAAACACAATGAAAATTAACTCAGAACATAAGAAAACTCACAGAAATGAAAAAAGTACATGGCCTATAAAATTCCAAGTTTCCAAGGAATACCTTTTCAGGATCTATACTTTGACAGAGATATCATACACCAACATATCAGAATCCTGACAAAGAAAAACTACGGCTTTAAGGAACTAAGGATAAGATATTATTCAGATAAAACTAAGATCAACTTCGTTGTTGTAATTCAGAAATATGAGGGAACATATTACCTAGAATACTAAAGAATTATTAAAGAAAATGATTCTCACCATGAACCTAGACGGTCTACTCTTTGAAGACCAAGAGGAAACTTTGACAGATCACAAAAGTGAAAGGAATTTGCTACCTAGGATTGACCTCTCAGAGTGGATTACAAGGGATTCTTGAAGTTTTGTTAGAAACCCCACTGAAATGGATAAGTGGCCCAAAATACCAGCCACGGTAAATTCAATGATCTCAAGTGTAAAAGGTAAAGGTAAGAGAAAGACTAAAAGTAAAAAAAAAAAATTTAATGTTTCAGAAAAACCAAAATATAAATAAAGGAAGAGGTGAAAGAAAAACTCAAGAGCAAGAAAAATAAACCACCACCCCGTTGTTTCATGGAAAGAATGCATAATATGGTAGAAAGAACACTCATCTGGAGTAGAGACTTAGACTCTGGTTCTGCATCTCCCCAAGTCTTAGGATAACTCCTGGTACCTGTCCAGCTTGTTTCTTCACATGTAAATAGGTGGAATGGATGTTCCTAATGGTCCCTTTCACCTGTGTCAGTCCATCAGAAGACCCTCCAAGGGCTGTTGTTTTTTTTAAAAAATCATATATTAAACATCTACCATATGTCAGAGGCCATGCTACACAATGGGGAGAGGTAATTAATTAAGTAAAAGGTCAAGGTCTCTGCTTCTAAAAGACCTAAATCTTGAAGGAGACAGAAGATGTTCAAATCAGGAGCTACAATGTGATAAATACTACAGGAGAAGGGAGGCCCCTACAGGAGGGGCACAATCACAGAGACAGGCGTGGGCAAGTGAAGCTGGGCGTGAAAACACCTCAGAAGGAGGGGGGACAACTGGCGATGTGAAGTACCCTAGCCTGGTTATCGGTGGCTCTGGTTGCTGANAGCTAAATTCCTAAGGTTGAAGAGGACCCTTAGCAATATCCCATCTGTTCCTCTTACCTTTTCTAACTTCAAAATCACTTTACTTCTCCCATACCGACAGGTACTACTCAAGTCCAAAAAGGGTCATGGTTCCAGATGTCTCTTAACCCCCATGCCCTACAGTAGCTTCAGAATCAAGTCCAACCCCATTATCACAGCTCCTGAGACCATTTATGATCCGCTCTAGCTCACCTCTGAAACTTTCGCTCTCAATCTTACAGTTATCCCCGAGGATCAGCTCCAGCCATACCTATTCTGCAATTTCTCTGACCCAACCATGTTCTTTCACATCTCTAGGACTTAACCCATGTGTTCTTTCTTCTGGGAATACACTCCCTACCCCCATCACCTGGCTATTTCCTGCTCAGCATGGTGTCACTTCAAGAAGTCTTCTCTCCAAGTCCTGACTAGGTGTCCCCCACATACTCCCAGTGTATCCTGCACTTCCTGTATCATGCCATTGTATAATATGTTGTACAACTCTGCTCTATTTGTCTATACCCTTCATGAAGGCACCTCCACAGTACCTTAGTGAAGTAGACATTGTTCAGAGGATTTCTTTGTTCCTTCCACTGGATACCTTTGCAGTATTTGATATTAATGATGACCCCCTTTCCTAGAAGCATTTACCCTTCTGTTGCTCTGGCAAGGTTTTTCCCATTCTCTTCCCACCTTTCCTATCACAGCTTCTTGCCCTATGTTATTAGGCCCCAGGTTTATCTTCCTTGTTATTTTCCCTCACTCTATACCACCAACTCTTATGGTTTCAACCATGATACTCCTGGCCTATTAACTGTTTGGTTTCCTCTTCTAGATGGCAAAGAATTACTGAAAGCTTTCCAGAAAGATCTGTCACACCAAGACTTGTGTTTTAGGTATGTCATATTGGCATGCAGTACAAGAAAACATACAGAAGATAAAAGAACATCAGAAGGTTGTTTCAATTGTCCATGAATAATGACGATTCCTGAACTAAGGAAATGACCAAGAAAGAAAGAGGAAAAAAAATATATACAA